GCCCGGAGCCGGAGCCGGAGCCCGGAGCCCAGGCAATTTCCCGACCAAGGGCTTACCCTCTCCTCAACAGACCAATCATTGAGCTCTGTTGAGCAGAGTCGATGCTCAACCAAGCAATCATTGAGCTCTGTTGAGCAGAGTCGAGTGCTCAACCAAGCAATCATTGAGCTCTGTTGAGCAGAGTCGAGTGCTCAACGAACCAATCATTGAGCTCTGTTGAGCAGAGTCGAGGAAAGAACTTAGACGAGTACCCGCAGCTATCTCGTTTTAGTCACATGATGGGGCCACGATCGAACAATCGAGGTAAGAGCGAGCACCAGTCTACAACAGAGATTGGACAGAGACAAGAGAGCAGGCGCTATCTCTCTGGAAACTGCAGGTAAACAACTAGAATGCGTAGGTATTAGTATACTGTCGAATGTTATCAGGAGTAAGATAGTAATCCTATATTATCTTACTCCTGATGTTATCATAACAAACTCGCGAAAATCCACCGGTGCACTTATTAACCTGGTCATTGTTATTATATACTTATGTTATATATAGGCCTATACTCCTAGTGCCTATAGGCTATACTCCTAGTAACGCTCAAGGGGTCGTTGTCGTAACAGGTACTACAGATATGTACCCGAGGTACATATATGTATACACAAAGAGTACCAGACTTGTACTACAGAAGTGTAACCTAACCCTAACACTAACCCTAATCCTAACCCTAACCCTAACTCTAACCCTAACCCTAACCCTAACTCTAAACATACCTCATATAAAAATATAAACATAATACTAAACAACCTAAAACTACCTCGGGTACATATCTGTAGTACCTGTTACGACAACGACCCTTCGTGCCCTAGTAACCCGAGTCCCGACCAGGCTGTGTGACTAACGTCAATACACCTATTCTAACCCTAGCAATACCGTTTCTTGGAGCTATACTCCTAGTGCCTATACATGTAGGCCTATACATATAGTGCTATAATAATAATACGTGTTATTATTAGCTCTAGTACTATAGCTATGTTATTATTTGATAATCAATAAACAATATGCTTCATTGCTTGTATATTGGTGATAATTCGTAAACTTGAATTGAAGGTAGCCCGGTGTGGTACTGCCTAATTACAATTTAATCCTATGAGGAAAGGCAGTGACCTATAATAAATTCCTAATGAACTATGTATTCCAATGATTGCATGGCTATAACGCTCCATTAAGAGTGTTCCCAACTTTGATATTATTAATGATTAATGATTGATAATCCTAACGACAACCCTAACCATGGCCCTAACCCGAACGTAAATGACATTAAACCACAAAGTAATAAAACAGATAACAAAAGGGAAACTAATAAATAAGTTAATTGGGAACACGTACGTACTACTCCTAATGAAGTATCACCCGATTGCATAGTACAGAACTAGCACATTGAACGCAACTACCACTAATAGTAATACTGTCGATTTGAATATGTTTATCAAATTATAGAATGGCTATACTGCATGCTGTAGGAAATGTGTCTAACCCCGCTTTGATCTCCATTGATATATGTTCTGCAGCATATGTCACACCTGCGACGATGGATACTACTTTTGTCGAGACTCGATCAACCACTGCATTCCTCTGGACGAGCGCTGCAGCAATGACACAAACTGCTTAATTCACTGATACCTCAGATGAGATGTTCTGCTCTGGTACGTGTGCATTCAGATGCTTGCTGTCTCTTCCAGTGTATGAGATCGTTTAGAAATTACCAAAGCATAGCTGCACATAAAGTCAAAATTGCAAAAAAAATCATTTCCTGCTAAAGAAAATGAGTGTTTGCAATGAACGTGTGTTTAGACTCAAGGTTTTAGGTTATAGTATAGATATGTCTCTATAGTTATCTGTACCTATCTGATCAGCCATTCTTTATTGTAAAAGGGTTATATAAAATTACAGGTGCCCACCTGAAGTTGGTGGAAACAGGTGTCAACATGCAATCCATCCGACTGGGCCACCAACACACCGTAAGCTCGTGACGTGTTAAGCAGTTCAACCTTATAATTAATCCTAATTCACACTCATAACCTAGGGCAAATGCTTACGAGCTCGTAACTTAAAATGAAACCATTTTTAAAGTGTGTCTTAACTGAATGTTAGTATATTCACCTTCCACCTACAAGCCTTCCCTGACAAATTTGCCAGATTTCCATAAATGCCATAAGTTGTTATGTTTGTAGCTACAGCTAGGTCACTCAGACAATTTATAGGCAACTAATGACTGGCTGGTCGTTAGCATTAAGCCATCAATAATATGAAAACTGCTTCTCTTTTCGACTTTCCTCCAATGTGCCTCATAGTACTGATTTATTGATAATCAAAATTGCAAAAGTGAAACATGCGAATGTCAAGTGGTTGCTGTAATAACATTAAGCATAAGGAAAGGTTATGTTAATTAATTAGCTGCTGATAATTCATGTGCAGATACCAACTGGCTAGTCGGCGTCATCATCACAGGATCACTGTTGGCCTTGTTGCTTATCATAGCAGCCGTCTACTACTTCTTCCGCCAGAAACAGAGAAGGTATATATGCAACAAAATCTGTGGCTTTTAATCTTCTAGCATAGTATAAGTTCATTGTGAAGCTGTGATTGCCAGTTTGCAGCATTAGCTGTAAATAGTGTGAAATGTGTTACGACTTGCTGTTTTATATAAAAACTGCTAGCTTCAGTTATTCCGTGTATTAAAAATGGGCGAGAAAAAATTCACTGTTATGAGCCAATTAACAAAGTTCACAATTTTTAACCTTGTTATGGGGCTGTTGGTCTGGTGAATTTATAATCCCTTTTTTCATAGACTCATGGAACCTAACCGTTCACCAACAAAACTACATATTCGACTTCATCCTTTCCCCCAATATAAATAATCTCACAACACATGACAAGTAAAGTAGATTGCAATTTACAAGGAATTGAAATCATTACTGAATACCATATGAAATGTAATAAGTAACCTAAAGAAGAAGCTAAAGAATTGATGTATGGTATATTTTATATTCTAGTATTAGACACAGACAAAGCTTAACAATTTGTGTGTTATTGTTTTGTAACACTAACAGGTCAGAATGGAGGCAAATCAAGATATACACCAATGCAGCAAGTGTGACCGAAAGTTCAATGTAAAATCGAACTTGACTAGACACATGAAAACGCATGAGGACAAAGGTTTTCAGTGTGCAGTTTGTGACAAGACTTTTACACTGAAACAAAACTTGGACAGTCATGCTAAGCAGCATTTGTATCCAAATATACCACTTTATAAGAACAGAGAAGCAAGACTCAAATGCTCCGCAGAAGCATTAGATGTTGCTAGCCACAGCAACAAGGAGATTGAAGATGTGTGGCTCGATCCAAAGACGGCAGAAACGGCTGCGAAGAGATCAGGCAGTGAGCTGTGGAGAGCCAATGTTATCATAACATTTGGCAAATATGCAGGAAAGTCTTTTAAGTGGCTACTTGAAAATGACGTCGGCTGGGTGGTGTGGCTACTTGATGCCTACAGCATTCACGGAGAAAAGTGCCCCCGCTTGCTGTGGCAGAAGGAAAGACTGCTGGAATTAGTCCGAGACATTGCCTCCGTGATGTGCCATCTAGACAACCGCCTTAAGGTAAGTTACAAAATGCATGTACTAGAGAACCTAAAGAAGTAATAGACTTTACAGGGTGTGCGGCCAATAACTGCAGTGTTAGTGATAATCATAAATAAGTTCTGGAGATACATTTACTTCTCTACTGTTTGTACTGTAATTCCCATTTAAGAAATAAAGAAAGAGAGAGAGACATGTATCACAGTCAATCTGTTATTCTCTATTTGCAGAAGCGGAAGGAGAACAAAGAGATGGCTGCCCCGGCTACAGATATAGCAGAAGAGTATATTGAGGATGCTGAACTATTGGCCATGGCAGGTAGGCAGATTTGCACATTACAAGAACACCATTCATTACCTGCTTTCCGTATGGGACCCTTTTTTCATTTCCTTTAAAAAAGATACCAAATGCATGTGATGTATATGCATCATATCTGATATTAAACTAATACTTGAAGCAGTATTACTTTGGAAAACCATATATATTTATGTTGCAGATCAGAATGTGAGATGTGGATGTGAATAGAACATTACTTTTGTAACATAAACAAATTCCTGTTAAGCTGGGTTTACACTATCGATTTTTGTCAGCAAATCGTACCGATTTCAAGTGCAACACAATCACCGTCCAACACAATGGGCTGAAATTCGATTGTGTTGGTGTCGGAGTCGAGAGAGCAAGTTCGACGAGTGGCGAAATAGAACGTGTTCTATTTTGCTCGACTCGCGATTCGTGAAATCGGCGAGTTGGATAAATCTAATTGGCTTAAAAACTTTCACGTGATACCTAATCAAAATGGCGGCGCCCAACAACACGGCAAAACCATAGGCAATTTATAGATTTATTTGAGAAAAACGAATGTTTGGTGGCGCGTTGATTCGATAGAGTACAAGGATCGTGATAAGAGCAGGGAGCGTGTGAGAAGATAGCTCGTGAGCGGATGGAGCGGTTAAGTTTATAGTGAAACGTCAAAACTACTCTTCTGTAGCCTGCAGCATGCGGCAACTGTGTGCGCGGCAACTGTGTTAGCTCGAGTACTATAGCCCGCTTATGGCGGTATCATTCGCTCTATACTATATCACTACTCTCTGGGGGTTCAGTTTAGTGCATTTAGTGTGATAGCTAGGATATTCCATCATTAGTACATTGAATCTCGAGATTATTTTATAACACAGTTCAGGTACTACACATGCAAGCCACGATTGCTGCCACAAGACGTCTACCGCAGCTACTTTCTGAGCTGATGCTCTCTGTTTATATAACAGTTGAGAGCTCTCCTCATATTGTTTCTGCAGTTAGAGAATTACAACGTGGGCAGCTAGTGGTTGACATGGTCATTATTGTTGAATGTATTCATGTTCTGATAGCTTTTTCAGGTGGTCTGTCAGTGCTGGTGGGGTCATCCATATAGACCGAAGGTCCGATAGACCGAAGTGTGTCGGAGTGAATGAATAAGGGCTAGGGGTTTTGATATTTAAAAAAAAATTATGCAAATTAAGTAGTTTATGCATTTATGCAAAAAACGCAGATAACAAACAATCTGTGCAAATGCATTGTATGCACATGCACGCATGCACGCACGTGTAGGTACACACGCACGCACGCACGCATGCACGCACGTGTACGTGTAAACGCAAGCACGCACGCACGCACGTCTACGTGCACATGCACACGCGCGCACGCACGCACGCACACGTGCACACACACGGACGCACGCACGCACGCACGTGTACCACCTGCACACACACGCACGTACGCACACAAGTGTACCTGCATAAGCACGCACACACGCACGAACGTGTACCTGCACACGCACGCACACACGCATGCACGACGCCGCGATCACTGGTGATCACTGACCAAAAGGTCCTTGGCGGGGTTGTGGCCCATTCCCAGGCGGTCCCCCATCCAAGTACTGACCGGGCCCGACGCTGTTTAACTTCGGGGATCGGACGAGAACCGGTGCGTTCAGCGTGGTATGGCCGTAGACAAACGACTGTGCTTCACAGACGCTCACTATTGCAACGATTCGGCGGTCCGGTGTCCACTGATATCCAGAGACCGTACCAATGGACGTCACAACAAACGTTCACTATACGGTAGCAAGTGCAGCGATGATTTAGACAGTTGTATGAGCACTTGGTCTATTATTCAGAGGGATCAATTATGTAGCCACCGTAATTTTCTCTTTGCGCGCGCAATGAGCCGTTCCGATTTGAAAAATGAACCAGAATCAATTCAACAAACTCGCAGTTAAGGCTATTAAAGACCATTCGTCGGGCTTTGCGTGAGTCTACCCCTTACTAATGTTGAAACAAACTGTAGACCCTCATCAGAATTT